TCGATTGTTTCCCGTTGCTCCCATTACTCTCCGATAGATACTAGTTGGTTGGTTTGGTGGGAGGAAAGCAAGTTGCTCTCTCCATCTCCTGGTGTATCCCCCTGAATTTCTTTGTGGTACAATCCGAATGTCCATGAGCTACTAAACCATCCTGATTCTGGGTGGTGGAGTTGTCTTGGGGTCACTCACCTCTCCCATGTTTTTGTTGATTGGTGTTTTCTGTCCTTTGAGAATTTAAAAACTCGTTATGGTGTAATTGATACATTTTTCTACAAATATTTATTACTACGGCATGCTTTACGGGTTCAGTTTGGTACTTTAGCCCTTGAACTTTCCATTCGCCCCTTGAGGGGCTAATGTTGGACCCTGATGTGATGAAGCTGGTTACTACCTTCAATGCCCACCTCCAGGCGGCCAGGACTAATCCCTTTCAAATTGCTCTACGTAAGTGGGAGGCGATTCTTCTTGGGCTGTCTGAGGAGGGTTGGGAGGAGGTGGAGGAGGTCTGTTTTCAAGATCTGATCAGTACTGCTGATAGGGTTATTCAATTCAAATTCATACATCATCTTCACTATACCCCAGCCCGGCTTTGGATCGGCATCCTCGTGTCCCCGTTGTGGCCTCGAGGGTGCTGGTCTGTTGCATATATTTTGGGCCTGTCCGGGCCTTGCTTCATATTGGCAGGACCTCTTTTGTTTTGTTTTTTTTTACGTAACCTTGCATTTGCCAGTGCCATGTACCCCAGAAGCTGGCCTGTTGGGTATATTGAACAGTTTTGTCCCACACACTCACTCTAGGGTATTGCTACGTTTGTTTGTTTTATGCTAGAAAACTTGTTGTTGTTGAATTGAAAGGGCGATACTCCGCCCTCTATATACTGATTTTATCGCATGGGTAATCTGGTATAAGCCCAATATAAGCTGATCTATAAAGGACAGGCCTGATTTGTAAGGGAGTTGATGGTGTGGGTGTTTGTGCTTGTTTGTGACTGTTGTATGTGTTTGGCTGCTGTTGTATGTTTCTGACTGCTTACCTGTTATGTTATTATGTTGTCTTGTGATTCTCTTTTGTTATATGTATGGGGTTTGTTGCCTACGATAATCTGATGTTTGTTTTTTTTAATCCCCTTTTCGGTATTCTGTACCCTTTTTCTTTGATTTTTTTTAGTTTGAGATTCTGCTATTATTTGTCTCTTCCTTGTTCTGTTATTGTTTGTGTTTTATAAATGCAAAATAAACACCTTTTAAAAAAAGCTAAGTGAAAACTCTTTTTTTAGTTGTAGCTAGAGTGGAGAGGGAATAGAATACCTGCCAGGTTTTTCTGTGGTCTGCGTTCCTGTTAGGGACATTCACCCTCTACTCGTCTTGTTTGCTATTATCACTGAGAGTGAAAGGGAAAGAAAATCAAAGATTATGTTGTAACCAGAAGAATAGAGGGGAACCTTCCAATTGGGACACTAGTTCTGGTAACAACCAGGGGTCCCCTCACTTTGGAGGGACATCCTCAAAGGAAACAGATGACAAGTAAAAAAACTGAGAGCCCTCTATACAAAATGAAAAAAAAAAAAAAAAGGTTTGCCTTTAGTTCTACTTTAACCCATTGAGTACAATAAAATAAACATTCTCCAGTAAATTATTGCCCAGTTCTTGCAATTTGCATTTTCCAATGTTGCTGTCTCCTGTTCTCCCAGTGCTACATCCCTGAACATTTCAAAACTTCACAGGAAAGAGTTAACAGTTGACAATAAAGTCTCTAAGCTAGTTTGTTAACTTGAAGAAAGGAGGGGAAAGGAGGATGGAGGAGCAGGAGAGTGCTTTTACCAAACTAGGCTATGGGCCTGTGTGTTTCTGTTGATGCGTACAGTGCAGGGAGCCACAACTCCAGTCAGTTTTGCCAGCCATCCATAAAATCATGAACAGTTTGTAAAAATAAAGCACTTTTCTCCTTTTTATAGTTATCCGTGCCCATAAAACTATCAGGCTCTCGCTGGCTGTGGACTGCACCAGTGCAGTTCTGGAGTTGGCTGACTGGTAAACAGTTAGGCTTGGTGGGTCTAGGTGTGCATCTGTGCAATGGCGTCATAACATACAAGGGGTGTGTGAATAAAAGCCATGCCCAATGTGCCTTTTCCCGCCAGCCACCATTCCACTGCACAGTAGCCAGGAGGACCAACAGCCTGCTTGCTATGAACAGGCACGGACTATGCCCTGTCCGCTTGCCCATCCCAGCTAAGAGCCTGAGCTAGATGCTCTCACCCCTTCACAGCCCTGCGCTCCATTAAGTGCTGGAGGGTCAAAGCAAAGAGCTGGTGACTGACAGTCACTGCTCTCTGTTTAGTGAAAGCCGAGCACTCAGTGTTCGATGATCATGTGATCACTTAGTTCTCAAGCCAGCAAGTGACAACTGCAGCATCAGACCAATGCGTCACCCACATAGGAGAATATGTATGTTTTTTTTAAACATCCAACACTTTTCCTTTAAGTGATACTTTCTATTTCGTCAAGCAGTTCAGCCAAATTTCACCAAGTTCAATAACATTTTCCAGAGCAGTTCCCCTATTTTATCATACTAGCAACTGAAGTAGCTTCAACTGCTTAAAGGTCTTATGGGATACGTTATTAGGCCAAACTTGTTGGTTTCACTTGAAAATGGCATTTGACAACCTAGATAGTGCAAACTTCAAATCAACAGACAGTATTTTTAGTGGCTACCAAACAAGAGAACATATATCTAGGAGTAGATGATTTGTCAGCTGTGCAAACAGGTCTACCACTGAATCTGGGGGCAGTATAGTACTTACAAAGTATTTTCCACAAATTGTTCCCCCATCTGAGTTTGACGCTCTGCATACTGAATTTATTGAATACAAAGTGACACATTTCAGTGATGTTGCTGAGACTGACACATATGATACAAATTGGCAAAAGGTAGGACAAAGCTGTATTACGCATCAGGACAAACTGAAAATACCTAAATTCTAATATCTGGTGAAATTTGCAAAAACTATGCTTTCCCTTCCATCCAGACCTTAATCCTATAGAAAATTTATAGAGGAAGCTGAAACTTCGAGATGCCAAGCGACAGCCAAGAAACCTTAAGGATTTAGAGAAGATCTGTAAAGAGCGGACTAAAATCCCTCATGAGATGTGTGCAAACCTGGTAACCAACTACAAGAAACATCTTACTTCTGTGCTTGCCAACAAGGGTTTTTCCACCAAGAACTAAGTCATGCTTTGCTTTTGGATCAAATACTTATTTTTTTTATTATTATTATTATTATTATTACAGATACTTATATATTTTTACTCACTGAACTGCATCTCAATTTATAACATTTGTATAATGTATTTTTTTCTGGATTTTTGGTTGATATTCTGTCTCTATCATTTAAAATACACCTTGATAAAAAATTATAGGCAAACTTGCAAAATCTGCAAGGGATCAAATATTTTTTTCCCTATTGTATAATTAAATTTGCATTGAAAACTGTACTTTTATAAGTTCTTGAAATGTCAGTAAAAACGTGGCTGTGTCAGTAAATTTCACTTTGGTATGTTGGCAGCCCTGAATCTAGCATCTGATTGCAATGGTAGTTTCATAGATTGCTGCATGAGAAATGAGCCACCCTGAAACAGAAAACTGGTCATGGCACCAGCTTACACACAGGAAAGGTTGAAAGATCTCTTAGATTGTAAGCTCCAAGGAGCAGGGCCCTCCCCTAACCCTCTTGTATTGAATTGTACCGTTGCTGTATTGTTTTCCTTTGTTTTGTAAAGCGCTGAGCAAACTGTTGGCACTATATAAATCCTGTACAATAATAATAATAATAATAAAAAAGAAACTGCATACTCAGTAAGTGATAAAATCATTTGCCAAAAGTGCTTAAAACTGAGAGTTTATTATCATCACTTTAAAGTACTTGGTTTTCATTAAATGAATAACATAATAATAATAATAATAATAATAATAATAATAATAATAATAATAATAATAGAGTATACAGTATTTGTAGCTGCTGACTTTTAATAAAAGGACACTTACCTGCCTGTCCATGGACTCAGCACTGTCCTCACCTGGGCCAGTTCTTTGCCAATCTTTGGGTCCCTGGCACTGGTATATTTAGTGGGGGGGGGGTTAAAGAGGGAGGAATTCTAGTGGAATCACCTAGTGGAAGTGGGAGGAGGTACCTGAGAAAACTAGATGCTCACTCCACAAAAAAGTTATAAAGGAGGGGGGGAGTGGGGGGGGAGAAGGACATGTGGAAGTTCCGCTTTAACCTCAGATTTTACAACGTAACATAATGGAACACACAGAACATTATACACATTTATACCACATAAATGATGCCATGTGATCTAACTGAGCCAAACAAAGCCTGTGTCATAGTTAGTCCACATAGCAAATTTTTAGAAGCACAGAAAAGCTGGGTATACATACACTAGTAGAATTTCGTTCACAATTTTTCTTTGTAAGAATGTTTTAAGAGTGTTATTTCGTTTTTCTAATCCTAAGTGAGGTCAAAGCAATGTTTATTTTCGAATGGAGTTGAATTCAAATTTCCGGTCCTGTTCATGAGAAGTTGATCTATAAATCGACTTCTCAAGAACAGTCCTGAAGAAAAATTTCCATTCAATCAGCACTTGCATCCAGTCAGCTGCAGAGCTGATCAGCGTATTCTGATGCAGGGGAGTCCTGCTGTTAGAATACAATGACACAGCGAGGAGAATTCTCACATCTACATCCAATTTCTTTTTTTAAAAAAATAACCCTGAATGGCCAGTTTAACAGCGTATAGTTTTTGTTTGGAAAAGTCTGTTCATTCCAATACTGAATGGTAAAAGCAAGCAGAATCTTGAACTGCTTTTAAAAGACAATTGAATGTTCTGAGGAATTGTGTATACATTTTCCTAAGAATTTGCTTACAAAATTGAATTTAATATTCTACAAATGTACCCCCAGCTTTAGATAGTTTACCACTAATACATAAAGAATTAACTTACCCCTTTGTAAATGTCCACATTCAAAGTATCATTGTTGTTTGGAAACAAACTGCTACTCTGCCCACTAAAAGTACTGTTGATGCACTCATTCAGCTGGATAAAAAAAAAAAAACATGGTTTATTTAAAGGGTTTTCATGTAGAGAAAGCCTATTTACCACAGCCATTACAAAACACAATGACAATGTGATATTCCTCCAATAATTCCACCATAATGCAAAAAAAAAAAAAAAAAAAAAAAAGCTAGGTTTCTCAGGCTGAGAGAGATGGACACCTTTACTTGGTGACACAGTTATATCGGTTAAGACCAAGTGTAGACCAGGTCAACAAATACTGTGCTCCACCCCAGCCCACGGAGTATTATTAAAAATATGGACAGCACCACTGGAAACAATATCAGGAATAATTATATGGAAAAATATATCAGATAGAAAAGATATATTGGAAAGAGCAGCTATCTTATCCTTGAGGACAAGGTAAAATATGAAACAATCACTTAAGACAGCACTCCTCAATCACAATATACCTCTTAATATGTGAACCAAAACACATTTGTATTAGTGCAATATAATTAAATAGAACAGTGCACTAAATAATACCATGCAAAACAATACCATGCAGAAGAACGTGACTACTAAACTCTGTGAATACGCAAATAAATCAATGTCCAATGAAAATATCCATAAAATAATAGTGTTCATAAGAATAATAGGGAAATCATAAATCCTCTTCAATTCTTATAATGAACTTCTGTGTTGTGTGATCAAACACCACTGTGAGAATCCACCACCAAATTAATTAAATACACTCACCAGAGCTCCATGCTGGTTAAGATTATAAACCACCTACAAGCGCTTTAGCTCTGGGATCAACGATCTGCAGAGGCACATGATGGCTAATAGCTACTCCATGAAATGACAATTGACTCTTCATGCACTCAAAATTGGATCATAAAGAAAGAAAAAAGAATCCACATAGCGTAAAACCATCCAGGCATTTTATTCAATAAAAAAAACTTCAAATCCACTCACACTGAACAGTGTCAAAGCCGACACTAGTGTATATTGCATACAACAATGATAATCATAGGTTTGCTCCGGTCCCAATTAGACATCAGCAGCTCACCCATAAGTGGTGATGTCACCTCCGAGGCCATAGCATGGAGCTCTGGTGAGTGTATTTAATTCATTTAGTGATGGATTCTGTGTGTGTTTGGTTTACATATTAAGAAGTATATTATGATTGAGGAGCGCCGTCTTAAGTGATTAATTGTTTCACAGTGTATTATACTTGCAAATGTGCAATGAAGGTAAATGGGGACAGAGGAACTATAGAAAGTTGCCAGGGGGCAGGGCAGTGACACTTCTTCATGCAGCCTCTGGTGCTTAGTTATGTGAGGGGAATCACATTTGAGATTGCTCTGTTTCAGAAACCAATTTCAAAATAGCCCCAAATCACTATACTATGCTGAGTGGTGGACCTCCCACAATGTATGAAATTAAATGAATGCTTCTAATGTTACATCTCCCTTTATCAGTCTCAGGACAATATCCAATAATCCAATACACATTTCATCACCCTTTCCCCACTAAACCTTTCTTCTATAATTCTGCCCAGCTGCAACCACTCTATGCAGTGATCCTCCGGTTTCACACTATTTGTTGCTATGCATAACTGCAACTGCCCCAAATTTTAGTATGTCAGCCCCAATATGCATAGAGAAGAACTGGATAGATTTTAAAATTACACAAAAAAAAAAAAAAAGCTGGGAGGGGCATGAATGTTATCACATAATATCCATGTAGTGACTTACCACTTCGTCGTTGGTCTTTTGATAGAAGGCTTCAGCAAACACTGCCACAACGAAGACGTTGATGAGGAAGGACACAAAGAGGGCTATAGTGGACTCAATAAAAAAGTATTTATTTGCTTCTCTTACTTCTTTCTTGTTAGAGCGATTCACTTCCCTGGACTGAACACAGCAAGACATTTTTCTTAGAGAAGACAGTTGGTTGGAGGATCAAGTAAACAAAAGAGAGCACAACGATCATAATTTGTATTCAAATCATTGATTGAAGAATGATTTTCTTTAATAAGAGAAATGCAGAAGTTACGGGAGCCCATTACCATCTACAAGAGATATTAACTATTTGTACCCCAGGCCAATTCTGACATTTCTGTCATACATGTAAAATCTGCATTTTTTGCTACAAAATTACTTAGAACCCCCAAACATTAAATATTTTTTAAGCAAGGCCCTAGAGAATAAAATGGAGGATGTTGCAATTATGTCACACGATATTTGCCCAGCGGTTTTTCAAACTCAATTTAAAAAAAAAAATACACTTTTATTTTAGCGAACACAAACACTATTTATTATCCAATATTTGTTAACAAATAAATGATGGTGTTATGACGAGTAAATAGATATTTGCCTGTGGAATGGCGTCAAGCTACGGTACATTAAATTAACCACAGGCAACGCTTTAAAAGCCTTCACAGGTTACCTGTGACAAAATCATCAATGCTTCTGGTTTCTGACATTACAGAGGGAAAGGGACAACATCAGTTCCTTCCACTCTGTCTTGGGCATCGGATGTGGCATTGTTACCAGGCTCTCCCGTTGCAGCTGTAAAACGCAGATCAATGGAAGGACATCTGAAAAACAATCATTTCCAATGTATCCTATTCACACCATAATGTTGTGTTGCACTAAAATGCAAAATGTATGTCAATGGACGTCATGTTAAAATGCGACTAAAATGGATGGAAATGTACATGCATTTTAGTGCAAGTCAGTGTGAATTGGCCCTTACATTGTAGAGAATAACCAGCTGCAAAGACTGAAACTAGGATCATGTTTGCAGCTGCAACATGATCCTGGTATAACCATTTCAACCTGAGGCCGTATATACACAGATTATGAACAAGAAGTGGTTAAAAAAATCCACTGGATGATTTACCACTCCATGGACCACCTAAAAGTGAAATATTGTATGTATGCACAGCTACATCGGTTAGGACCAAATGTCGACCAAGGCCACAAATGTGCTCCATGCAAGCCCACAGTGTATTACACTTGTAATTGTGCAATGAATGTAACTGGGGACAGAGGAACTATAGAAAGCTGCCAGAGTGCAGGACAGTGACACTTCTCCATGCAACCTCTGGCACTTAGTTATGTGGGGGGATATCACATTTGAGATTGCTCTGTTTCAGCAACCAATTTTGAAGTAGACCCAGATCAGCTGTGGCTGTTACTGACCCGGCAGCAATATGTAAAACGTCACTTCCAGGTCCTAGTGTCACTGTCCCCAGGCCGTATGGCTGGAAAAAAAGCTAGTGGAATGCGATCTGCATTCCATTAGCTTCACTGGAAGACAGGTGATACATCAGAAATCTTTTAGATTAACCTCCCTAGCGGTCTGATGTCAGTATTTCTGTTCTCAAAGCGGTACATTTTTTTGCATGGAAATATGTAGTTTTTTATTGTAGGCATGTAATTTTTAGGAATAACTCACTGAAATCTGTCTGAACAAGAGTCTAGTAAACATCCCGGTATGTTAAAATTTTAAACACGAAATCATAAATTATAATTTAATAAATAATCATAAAAAATAATAATAAATTTAATTCAATAATATAATTAAACCAAAAGCACTGAAATTTGAAATAGAGCGCCAAGTTCGTACATCACTGAGCAAACTCGCAGAATCGTTTTCAGTGTCTGATGACGAATTTCCCCACAAATCATTATAACTCAATTCTGCAAGTAGTTCTAATTTACTATCGCTGTTCTCTAGCTGGTCTAAAACCGCTTCTGACCTAAAGGGATGCTTTTTGGACGCCATGGACATTTCTCAGTTTTAAGGCAGAAAGAGCAGTAAAAATGCAGGCAGGGCACAGGACAAAGCACTAGGGACAAAATGTATGTGAAATGGTTTCATACAGTAATGTTTTACTATGTGATTTTAGTGTATTTAGTGAATGTCACTTTTTGACATTTTTAAATTTCCCGCCAGTTCCGTCCCTGTACGTCCAGACGTCGCAGGGAACGGAACCCAGAAGACAGATGCTGGCATTGGCCAGAGGACATGGCCGGGGACACTGCGGGGGGGACATTGCGGGAGCGCAGGACAAGGTAAGTGCAGAAGGGATACCGGAGCAACGCTTGTGGTGCTGAAACTTTACCCCGAGCTACACTCGGGAATACCTCCAGGGAGGTTAAAGAGAACCTGTCACCAAATAATGCGTTACGTAGGTGACTTTTTATCCCCTGTGATTAAAAGGAAAGAAATGTAGTAAACAAAAGAGTGGTTAATTTAAAGTCACACCCAAGAACCTAAAATCCCCCCCCCCCCCCCCAAATAAAAAAAATCTTGAGCTCTCTACCCTCATATACACAAATATACGATCATAAATGCACATGTTGGCGGTGCCTACGCACGACAACACTGGTTGCAATACAAGTTACACCTTGCCACACATGCCACACACATGCTAATTGCCATTCCATAGGGACATGTCATTTTAAGGTTTGACATGTTGGGTATCCATTTACTCGGCCCAACCTCATCTTATGTACATAGTGTACCAAAATTGGATAATTTATAGTGTTCCTTTACCCTAAAAGTAACTTTACTGTATTTTTTACAGAAATGTTGTGTTTCCTAAACCATTGCGCCAATGTTGTGTGACATAAAAAAATTGGAACTACTAATATTTTATTCTCTAGGGTATCTGCTTTCAGAAAATATATAATGTTGTGGGGTTTTTGTAATCTTCATGCCTAAAGTGATTTTTTTAAACATGTAAACAAAAAGAGAAAAAACAGCTCCAGCAGCAAAAGGGTTAAATGTAAATCAATATGCACATAGATAAAAATTGCCTACAAAATCCCAGAGCCACAAATATAACACCTATACATACCTTAACCAAAGCTGAATGCAGGTACATGTTATGAGGCATAATGACGGCTCCCACAATCCCAACTGCTTGCTCAAGTTGAGGATTCCCACAATCAGCGCAGTAAGGAAAAAACATGCCCTTCAGAAGTTGGCCTTGGTCAGGACGAACTCGCACATACTGAAAGACAGGAGATAATTTAACAGTACAACAGTTAAATATCAAGATGCATTTTTGTGTTCTGTAAATAAACATGCTAGCAAAGCAGAAAACAACTCCGTAATAAAATGTATTCCTTGCTGCTTCAAGAAAGTTACTAAAAGGTGTTTAACAAATAAAAAGTTAAAATAACCAAAAGTTAACAGCAAAGTATTGTACGAAAGTAGCAAAACTGAACACAATATTATTAAATCTAGCCAATCTTCAAGAAATCTATAGGGCACGGGTGTCAAACTGGTGACCCTCCAGCTGTTGCCAAACTACAAGTCCCATGAGGCATTGTAATATTGACAGTTACAAGCATGACTCCCAAAGGCAGAGGCATGATGGGACTTGTAGTTACAACACAGCTGGAGGGCCTCCAGTTTGACACCCCCTGCTATATGGAATTGCTGACATTTGGCTGCAGGGATGAACAAGTCAACAGGTTAGAAAAGTGGCTCTGCCATTTAAAAGAGAAAGAGGCCACTCGAAATATAAACAATTTATATTAATAACCTACCTCATATCCAAATGTCACTGCCATGATTGTAATAAGAAAACCAAACAATGCTTCTAGTTTCCTCAGCCCTGTAAATAAAAAAGGATATATGAATGTGCAAGATGCGACAATTACTGATGTGGGGATACAACAGTATGCATGTGTACTTTATGTGGGGATTTTTATCATGGCAGCTGCAAAATATACATGAAAACATCTGTAGTGACAATCACTTAAAGCGAACCTATGAATGTAGAACTATGTGCGCTGCCTATGCTGCCTGTTAACAAAAGGGTAGACTTTAGGGTCCGTTTCCCCAATTCTGGCATCAGTATGAAATGACTCACTGGCCCAACAAGAGTATGCAAAGCTGGAGTTAAGCCTTTGGGGACTTCATTAACTTTATGCTTTTTGCAAGACAGCAATTCAATGAGTAGTGTAAATAGAAGCAGGATAAAAGTCCAGAAGGCTTTCACTATTACAAACAAGTCAGCAATGGTAGCTTCCATAATGCTCTCCTTAAAGGCTCACAGTCAATAGGTAATTACAATCCTTCAGGCTAGGTTCATACGTAAACATTTTGCAGTGCGCTTTGCATTTTCCAGAAACTCACTAAAGTCCAGTAAACATTATATCCTATGGGTGAAGTTCACATCTCAGTGATTTCAACCGATGTGATTTTCGGAAAGGGTCAGGGACTTTTTTAAACGCAAAACGGTACATTTTGGTTCAATAGACGTCAATGGAAAGACTGCAGAAACGCATGTAGTGAGTTTTTTATACGTTTTTGATTGCGTTTTTAATCTGCCCAGCAACAAGTTGGGCAAAAAAACCCCCATAAACGTGCAAAACGCATAAAAAAAAGCGTCAAACGTGTGCAAAGATTCAAAATGCACCGCAAAAAGCACTGCAGAAATAGATGAAACGCAAACTGCATAGGTGTGAACCTAGCCTAAATCAGTCATAGTAACAAAGGACATAAGAGCACAAAAAAAAAAAAAGAAACATTTTAAAGTGTATGTAAACCCTAACCTTGTAAAACAACACATTCAGTTTAAAATAGAAACGAAAGCCAAAACATTTGTGTATATCATTTTTTTTTTTTTTTTTACATTACAAAACGGGATTTTTTTGTTACCGTAAAATCCCTTTCTCTGAGTTCATTGACGGACAGAGCCTTCATAATCTTGACCGTAGGGTTTTATCGCCACCTTCAGGAGTAGGACTAGGCAGAAAAAAAAGAACAAGCGCAGCACTGCCTGTGGGCAGTCCTAACTGGTAGTAAATCCACACTCTGAGATAGGCAGCTTAGTTCGTTACAAAGCAGTACAATAAAAAAAGGGAAGGGTGGGTGCTGTGTCCGTCAATGAATCCAAAGATGGCAGAACAACTTTGTAAAACTTGATAAAAGTGTACACAGACGACCAGATAGCCACCTTAAAAATTGAGACATGGACGCCTGATGACGATCCAAGGAGTGCAGCACAACCTCCTTAGGACGAGACGGACACGGACACAAGAAGGGAGGACAATATTCTCATTTAGGTGAAAGGCAGACACCACCTCCAGAAGAAAGAAGGGAGGCAGACAAAGAACCACCTTATCTGTATGTAGAACCAGATAATGAGACTCACAAGACAAGGCTGCCAGCTCAGACACTCGACGAGCGGAGGTGATAGCGACCAGAAAAGTGACCTTCTGAGAGAGCGTGAGCAAGGGAAGATCCCGAATGTTCTTAAATGGTGGCTTCTGAAGGACAGAGAGCTAGTTCCAGGTCCCATGGCGCCAACGGTGGGAGCACAGGGGGAGCAACATGTTGAACCTCCTGAATGAAGGTACGAACCAATGAGTGCGTAGCCAAGGGGCGTTGAAAAGAGATTGCCAGAGCAGATACTTGTCCCTTAATAGTGCACAAGGCTAGTTTCTGATCAACACCCTGTTGTAGAAAGGCCAGAATCCAAGATATAGAAAAACAGCGTGGATGACAACCCACGGCCTCGCAATACAAAATGTAAACCTTCCAGGTGCGGTGATAGATCCTCCTGGAAGTGGACTTACGTGCCTTCACCATAGTGGGAATCACAGAAGCTGGCAACCCCCTATCCCTCAGCAGCTGGCTTTCAATAGCCAAGCTGTCAAAGCCAGAAAGTTTGCCTAGAAAGATGGTAAAGCAGGGTGGAATATTGGCCCTTGAGACAGGAGATCCTCGCCCAACGGAAGTCACCAGGGGACGTCTGTGACCAGCCTCACCACATCAGCATACCAGGGTTGCCAAGACCAATCCGGAGCTATTAGAATAACAGGAATCCCCTTGGCCTCTATCCTGTGTAGTAGACGAGGGAGAAGCTTGAGAGGAGGAAAAGCATTAAATCAGGCAATAAGGTCTGCGGGGTCCTTGAAGGAAGGAGACACGTCCACTGGAATCATGGTCGTCTTGCTCAACCTAGAGACAGGGGGGATCTACAATAGGAGGAGAAGACCACTTCTTCAAAAGGGACTCCTCAAAGGGGTAATGCACAGAAAAATGCCTTGAGACCGAAAAAGAGCGCTGCGGGCATTCCCAATCCTTGTAAATAAGGGTGGGTAAAGAAAAACTTTAGCGGTGTGGACTGGCTTGTGAATCCCAAAGGGGACAGACACTTCCTCAGTTGCACCAGAAAGATCCTCGATCTATAAGGTTTCCCTCACTGTGAAAATGAGCGCGGCCACCAGTGCTTTTTCACGCTCTGCAATGGCCGTTGATCCAACCACCGGCCATGGTGACACTGTGACACAGACATCAGGTGCCTGGTCATATGTGTCCCTGCGAGACGTTCAACCCGCTGGCCACCCTGGTCCAGAATGGGGCTCGTCGCTGCCAACCCAGCGCTGAGCTAAGGTCTGTGCACGTCACTACCCAGGCTGGGGGGCTACAAGGATCTATAATATCCAGCTTGTCGCAAAGCTTGACGGTTGATTGAAGATCTCCGCTGAAAGGAGAGGAAAACAAAAAGGGAGGGAAAAAGCTATGAAACCACATGTCCCTGCAGGGAGCTAGGTCCTTACTGTTAAACTAGGCAGAAAAAAATGGAGCTGCCTATCGCAGATTGGGGGTTTACTACCAGTTAGGACTGCCCATAGGCGGTGCAGTGCTTGTTCTTTTTTTCTGCCTAGTCTTACTCCTGAAGGTGGCAATATAACCCTACGGTCAAGATTATGAAGGCTGTGTTTGTCAATGAATGAAAGAGAAACTTTTTTTTCCCTTTTTTTTTTTTTTTTAAAGAGTTGCTTTCCCTATGTTCTCAATTGCATAAGAGCTGGAGGAGGAGAAAGAGCAGTACACTAATCTCCCCAGTGAAAAGCTGTGCAGGGAGAGGTTGCCAGGCCAAGTTTGATCATTGGAGGAGAGCAGACTGAGTTCCCAGCATAGCTAGAGAATTGACCACACTGTGTTCTCCTGCTTAGTGTGGTCAGTTTATAATAAGAAAGCAGAAGGACTGACAGGAGCACCAGGGATTTTTACACAAAGGAAGCAATTTGAAGAGAACAGGATACTTTATCATACAAGTACATGGTACAGCAAACACATATCAGGAATATAAAATGTTGGGGTTACATACTTTTTAAAACTACAAAATTATTTGTTCACCTACCGTATTTATCTAGGAACAAGAAGAAAAATGTATCTATAATTGTAATCAACACTCCTCCCCACAATGGAATTCTAAAAACAAAAAAAAAAATAAAAAATCAGTTTTCTGATTTTCTATGATGTGTGCACAGATTTGAAGCACATATTGAAATGCACAATGATATTTATACAGTACACCATAATCAAGTGTATAATAAGCATACTTTCCATGAACACACTAAAAAATAGCATTTTTTTTTTCCAGATCCTTAACCACTTAGGCTCCAGAGTTTACCCCCTTCATGACAAGGGCATTTTTTTTTGCTATTCAGCACTGCACTACTTTAACTGGCAAATTGCACAGTCATGCAATACTGTATGCAAATATATTTTTTTTTAACACAAATGGAGCTTTCTTTTGGTGGTATTTAATTAACACAGGGTTTTTTTTTTTATTTTTTGCTAAATAAACAATAAAAGATTTTGGAAAAAAAACAAATATTTTCTACTTTCTGTTAGAAAACATAACCAATAAAATCAAATTTCTTCATAAATTTAGGCCAAAATGCATTCTGCTACATGTCTTTGGTAAAAAAAAAAAAATCCCAATAAGTGTATATGAATTGGTTTGTGTGAAAATTATAGCGTCTACAAACAATGGCAGAAGTCTCCAAACTATGGCCCTCCAGGTGTTGAGGAACTGCAAGTCCCATGAGGCCTTGCAGTACTCTGACAGCCACAGGCAAGACTCCCAGAGGCAAAGGCATGATGGGACTTGTAGTTCTTCAACAGCTGGGAGGGCCATAGTTTGGAGACCCCTGAACTATGGTATAAATATTTAAAAATTGATCAGTTCCGATGTACTCATAGTCTCTCATTTTTTGAGGCCTTGAAATGCTAGGACAGTACAAGTAACAGGATCCACAATCCACTGTGTCTGGTGGTCGCGGGTGGGGTTCGCCCAGCACGCTCCTGAACCTGAGCAGGCAAAATGATGTACATGTATGTGATTGTGCCTGCACGTGCTGCCCAGCTGCAGTACATGTACTGCGACTGATCAGCAAGTGGTTAAAAAATAATAGCATTTCTGAAATTTCCGCAGACACCTAATTAGCTATCTGATCATAATCATCAATCTGAAAATGGGTTGTGTACATTTATCACTGTTATCAATAAAAGAAATGGAAAAATAAAGAAGAATAGATTTCATAGTAAATGGCACCCCCACCCTTTTTTTGCCTCTTTAAATACTTTTAATATGGCATTAGTTTTCACATGACAGTCCTACCCCCAAAACTACAGTCTTTTAAACAAGTCCATGAATGAAGACTATTACAGGTTTCACTTTGTTCACATGTTCACTACATTTTCCAGCAGGCTTTTGCACCTACATGCTGTTAGGGGCATGTGCTGTGCTGTCTCTGGGTGTGAGCAAGAGGCAGAATATTTGCATGTCAGCTTCCAGCTGACACTACAGCTGAAAAGAGTATGTGTGACAGTTTAGAACAGGGGTGGGAATCCAATTTTTTGCAAGGGGCTACATGTTGTGGAGAGGGATCAATATTAATTTTGAACCTAGCAAGGTCCATAGGTAAGTAAACATATAGAAAACAAACACCTGGCACAAAGAATAATAGGGACAACTGCTCATGAAATAGGTCTCTTTCACATGGGCGGTCAGGGGGTAGTAAAAAAGAAAAAAAAAAAAAAAAAAGAGGAAGAGGAAGAGGAAGAAGAAGAACAGCTAAGTAGTGGTTTTACTTCCAACCATCACCACCACACCCCACCCTGCCACCTAACCCCCTACCCCCAGCCGCCCACCCAAACTGTAAAATAGCTGGACAGGGCTACTCACATGCCGAGGCCATGACACTTTGCTTCACATTTGTGGAATTTTTTAACTCTAGGTGCAGTTTGAGTGGCAGCGCTTGTCAAACCCATTGACTTCAGTTGACAGGTTCAGAGAGGCATGCTGACAGTGAAGGCATCACGGGCTGGACAAGGACAGCCAAAGGGCCGGGTGTAGCCCTGTGGCCACAAGTTGCCCAGGTCTGGTTTACTATGTTCACTATTAAATGGCGCAGACAACATGACCTCAATTCTATAGTGCTCAGGACTAGAGGGGGTAGAGGTGGGCAGATACTTGACAGCTGAGCTGAGAATAGACTGCGTGATGCTTGGCATTATCCAGGCAAAAAATGTGTGTTGTAGCCAATGCAAACTTTAAAAATTTCAAATTGTTGCTTTCAGAAAAAGAAGCAGCACTGCTGACAAGAAGACATGGGAGAGGAGACACCTGGGAACATATTTCTGATAACTGAATGTAGTTAGTTATCATCAATACAACAACAATAATCTAACTTCACAAGGAACTAACTTTAATAGGAAACTTAATTTGTAAAATACATAATACATGGATCATTATGTGGCGGTTGATACTAAATGATTTGATCTGATGCAGGAAACAATATTTACAAATCAGGAAAGGAACTTACATTCCAGCGGACAGGAGATTAAGGGCAATGGCTGAGCCAATGACTTCTTGCATGTCAGATCCAATGATAGCCAGTTCCACCATTAACCATAATATAATCCGGGGAACCTATAAAACAAACAATAGTTTTCAGTAGGCAAAACAAAAATTACAAAGAAACTAAAATTAAGGCGTTTCTAAAGTCAAAAACATTTCTTTGTAGTTTTAGATGTGGTGGCAAAGGTGGGAAATCCTCTTTTAAACAGTTGTCACTGGAGCAGGTACCCCCAGGAAAAATGAGAATTCAAAAATTTCCTGTTTGTCATCGGAAATCAGGAGATTTTTTCCAGGGGACACCTGATCCAGTGACAACTGTTTAAAAGAGGTTTTCTCACTTTGGAGAAATCTCTTCTAACTTCTTGTTGTGTCAGATTAGAAACAACATACAAATATAAAAGGGAAAACATGCAAAAAATTATAGACTATATAGTGTGTATACAAATAGCACATTTTTAAACTAAAAATATAGATTTCATAAAAGGTATTCAAGATTTTAATTTCTCAGTGTTTTATTTTTTTTTTTTTAAGGTAGAGGTATGATTTCTGATTTCTTTATGAAGGAACAAGTTCAAGGGCTGCAAATGTCATACTTCAACACACATTAATCCACAGATCCAATACAAGCATGTGTAGGATATTCTGCCAGACTTACATATAAAATGTTTGTATTGTAGAGACAGTGGGGCAAAAAAGTATTTAGTCAGCCACCAATTGTGCAAGTTCTCCCACTGAAAAAGATGAGAGAGGCCTGTAATTGGCATCATAGGTAGACCTCAACTATGAGAGACAAAATGAGAAAAAAAAATCCAGACAATCACATTGGCTGATTTGGAAAGAATTTATTTGCAAATTATGGTGGAAAATAAGTATTTGGTCACCTACAAACAAGCAAGATTTCTGGCTCTCACAGACCTGTACCTTCTTCTTTAAGAGGCTCCTCTGCCCTGCACTCATTACCTGTATCAATGGCACCTGTTTGAACTTGTTATCAGTATAAAAGACACCTGTCCACAACCTCAAACAGTCACACTCCAAACTCCACTATGGTGAAGACCAAAGAGCTGTCGAAGGACACCAGAAACAAAATTGTAGACCTGCACCAGGCTGGGAAGACTGAATCTGCAATAGGCAAGCAGCTTGGTGTGAACAAATCTGCAATAGGCATGCAGCTTGGTGTGAACAAATCAACTGTGGGAGGAATAATTAGAAAATGGAAGACATACAAGACCACTGATAATCTCCCTCGATCTGGGGCTCCACGCAAGATCTCACCCCGTGGGGTCAAAATGATCACAAGAACGGTGAGCAAAAATCCCAGGACCACACGGGGGGACCTAGTAAATGACCTGCAGAGAGCTGGGACCAACGTAACAAAGGCTACCATCAGTAACACACTACGCTGCCAGGGACTCAGATCCTCCAGTGCCAGATGTGTCCCCCTGCTTAAGCCAGTAGATGTCCGGGCCCATCTGAAGTTTGCTAGAGAGCATTTGGATGATCCAGAAGAGGATTGGGAGAATGTCATATGGTCAGATGAAACCAAAATAGAACTGTTTGGTAGAAACACAACTCGTCGTGTTTGGAGGAGAGAGAATGCTGAGCTGAATCCAAAGAACACCATACCTACTGTGAAGCATGGGGATGGCAACATCATGCTTTGGGGTTATTTCTCCGCAAAGGGACCAGGACGACTGATCCATGAACAGGACAGAATGAATGGGGCCATGTATCGTGAGATTTTGAGTGCAAACCTCCTTCCATCAGCAAGGGCATTGAAGATGAAACGTGGCTGGGTCTTCCAACATGACAATGATCCCAAACATACCGCCTGGGCAACAAAGGAGTGGCTTCGTAAGAAACCTTTCAGGATCCTGGAGTGGCCTAGCCAGTCTCCAGATCTCAACCCCATAGAAAACCTTTGGAGGGAGTTGAAAGTCCGTGTTGCCCAGCAACAGCCCCAAAACATCACTGCTCTACAGGAGATCTGCATTGAGGAATGGGCCAACATACCAGCAACAGTGTGTGCCAACCTTGTGAAGACTTACAGGAAACGTTTGACCTCTGTCATTGCCAACAAAGGATATATAACAAAGTATTGAGATGAACTTTTGATATTGACCAAATACTTATTTTCCACCATAATTTGCAAATAAATTCTTTCCAACCAGAGATTGAAATGTTCAGTGCAGAGTGGCGGGATTAACGGGTTTTACATGTAAGCAAACGATTCCCAAAAATACTCTTTTTTGGAATCAGCCTCAAATAGCCTATCTTAGTCCATATGAGAATACCCCGAAAAAATGAATGGGAAATATAAATCAGCCAATGTGATTGTCTGCATTTCTTTTCTCATTTTGTCTCTCAGGCCTCTCTCATCTTTTTAAGTGGGAGAACTTGCACAATTGGTGGCTGACTAAATACTTTTTTGCCCCACTGTATATCTCAATCATTATTTACAACAGCATGAAAGTAGTAACCCATTAGCAGTGCAACAAGTATGAAGAATGTGTTGAAGCTTGAATCTTCAAAAATGAGCCAGAGATAACTGACCAAAAATCTTTATCCAAAAAAGATTCCCTACCACCCAGGTTAAATATTAAAAGAATATTACATGTAATAAATATATCAAAGTAGTACTTACTGTTGTGCCCTTTTTTTTTTTTTTTTACAAGTTATGCCCCCATTTCTGAAAAATGTTCTACCATTACAGAGCAGCCTTGACACATCTGGGTTTGTTAGAGACCTCTCTGGCCCATGTTCATGCACCTGCTGGACACCCCTTGCTCTGATATCACCACCAGCTGCCCTCCATCAAAGTTGCCTGCTGATACTGCTGGTGTGGCCTTGCATGATCTTGACTGACAGTACAGAGGCTGTGTTTTGGGAAAGCACCAGCATATTATATGGAGCAGTGATAAATGTGATACCAGAGTTATCTGTTCATGTGGCAAATAATCGCATGGTAGGTTTGTTTTGCTGCATACATTGTGCTGGTGTCATCTAGAATATGGCACCTGCACAGTCATTCACCAGTTGGTGTAAGGCTACACCAGGATTATAAGAGGGCAGTGGTGACATTAAGGTACGGGGGAAGGCAGAGGTGGCATAAGGGGGGGGCCCAAGAGGTGACGTCACGGTGGTAGTGGTGGTGGGAAGGATGGGGGGGGGGGGGGGGGAAGGATGACTAGAGGTGACATCAGGATGGGGGTGCAGGCCGCAGCTGTAGTACCATCGTCTAAAGAGTTCTCTGACACACTTGGAAATTAAGCAAATTTCTCAGCAATGGGTACACACTTTCCTAAAGACAATTTCTTTGTTCTGAGTATTGCCAATAATAAAGCATGCATTTAGGATAATTAACATTGTTGGGACATTTCCCACACTTCTGAAAACACTGATAAAACCTTTATGTTTTATTTATGTATTAAAATAACAATTTTAATAGCGTTTCCATGTTTACATTCCATCAATTAAAATAAGACATGAACAGGGTAGACTAGATAATCTAATGTATGAATAAAACATACCTTTGGATACTGCCGATTGCACACTTCTGCTAAATGAAGACCAGTCACCACTCCTAACCTGGCAGCCAGTCGCTGAAGAAGGAGGCCAATAATTGTAGCAGTCAGAAGGACCCATAGCAGCTATGGAAAAGGCATATGTGAGTTATACTGTAATGTTCAAAATGAAAAGAAGTACTTGCAAATACAATTATAAATCCAGTAGAAGCAATAAAAAGACATTTACTTCAATCAATTATATGGAACCAATATATTTCAAGTCCCATTCCTAACATGAGGTCAGGTAACTTTTTGTCTTAGAGATGCTCTCTAAGGCTGGCATTAAAAGAGACTCCGACCCTGTCTTTGTGTCAGCTGCTGTTTGCTAATACGTAGACAAGGAGAGAATCACACAGGGTGCAGAATCTACATCACTGTGCCACTAACGAGTATGGATACAGAAGGGGCAAGGGAAGGGGCTTATTTCTAATATGTGTTCATATGTTTGTCTTTTAAAATGGTTGTGTTTCTCCTTCATTCTGTGAAGAGATGGCAAGTTCTATATTGAAATGCTTGTAAAATACATTTATTGTTCTATTGATCTCTAGGTCTGGTCTGTTTTGCTCATAATGTAGCAAATGTGTTTCTCACATAACAATACTACAGTGAAGTTCAGCACACCGGAAGATACCACTACAGGCAATGGTACACTTTATACACTATATTGACAAAAGTATTGGGACACCCCTCCAAATCATTGGATTCAGGTGTTCCAATCACCTCCATGGCCACAAAATCAAGCACCTAGGCATGCAGACTGCTTCTACAAACATTTGTAAAAGAATGGGTCGCTCTCAGGAGCTCAGTGAATTCAAGTGTGGTACCATGATAGGTTGTCACCTGTGCAATAAGTCCATCCATGAAGTTTTCTTGCTACTAAATATTCCACTTTGTTAGTGGTATTATAACAAAGTGGAAGCAACTGGGAACAACAGCAACTCAGAAACAAAGTGATATGCCACATAAAATGACAGAGCGGGGTGAACGCATGCTGAAGCGCACAGTGAGCAGAAGTCGCCAACTGTCTGCAGAGTCAATAGCTAAAGACCTCCAAACTTTGTGTGGCCTTCAGATTAGCACAACAGTTGGCCCCTTAGTTCCAGTGAAGGGAACTCTTAAGGCGTTAGCATACCAAGACATTTTGGACAATTTCATGCTCCCAACTTTGTGGGAACAGTTTGGGGATGGTCCCTTCCTGTTCCAACATGACTGTGCACCAGTGTACAAAGCAAGGTCCATAAAGATATGAATGAGTGAGTTTGGGGTGGAGGAACTTGATTGTCCTGCACAGAGTCCTGACCTCAACTCGATAGAACACCTTTGGGATGAATTAGAGCGGAGACTGCGAGCCAAGCCTTCTCGTCCGACATTAGTGCCTGACCTCACAAATGCACTTTTGGAAGAATGGTCAAAAATTCCCATAGACACACTCCTAAACCTTGTGGACAGCCTTTCCAGAAGGGTTGAAGCTGTTATAGCTGCAAAGGGTGAGCCAACTCAATATTGAACCCTACAAACTAAGACTGGGATGCCAATAAAGTTCATGTGCGTGTAAAGACATGCGTCCCAATACTTTTGGCAATAAAGTGTATATTCACGGTTACATGCAGTGGGCTGTTCTGGAGCAAGTCTTCTGCAGCTCACAAATATTTAGTAATGGTAAAGGTTTTAACAAATAAACAGTCCTAAACCAATCATTTATAATCCTAATGAATGGCTTCATGAACAGGAATCATTTACTTACCTTGAAACCAGCAACAGAGCCAGACTGCAAGTCCGATTCAATGTTTCCTGGATCCAGATAGGCAATGCTCATTAAGAAGCCAGGTCCAGTAAAGGCCCAAAGCTTACGAAAACTGAACCAAGTGTGCTGCAAAGAAAAACATTACTTTTTAATATTTTAAATATGTGTATATCACCTAACCCCAAAAAACCCCTCAAAAAGTCACGCTTTCTCCCCAGAAAGCAACACAGTATTATAACCTTTTTGAAAAATATATAAACAAATTCAAATAAATGAATATAAATAAAATCCAAACACTTAAATATAATAATAAAATTCAAAATAAAAAATATAAATAAAAAAGTCCAATGCAAAGTGTCCCAAAATGTCCCAATATAACCAAAAAATAGTGTCCAATAGAAATGGTGTCCAAAAATTGTCCAAATATCCAAATTTAATTCATCCAGTCAGAAGAAATTCCCTTCCGTCCCGTAATACCTCGAAAAAACAAATTCAAAAATTTAGTGCATTACCTTAAAACATAATATATTCTCTCCGTGCAAACACAAAAACACAAAAATGTGCAAACACTATATATGTGTATCTCTTCCGTGCACATGTGAATAAACTGTGATCACTCAGTGAAAACTGCAACACTGTGTTCCACCAGCACCAATAGTATTAGATACTATTACCCTCTGTATCCATATACCAGCATCCAAATGAGATCTTCCAAATGCTCCAATGAAAATATTCCAAGGTCCTCAAAAGACAAGAAGGGTCTCAAGGCTCATATTCAGGGTATAATAAAAAGATTTAATAAGAACTTACATTAAAATTTCATTATTCCGGCTTCCAACATGCTTCCTATGTGAGTCCTATCAAAAAAAAAAAAAAAAAAAACAAAAAAAAAAAAAAAAAAAAAAAAAGTTTGTTTTTTTTTTTTTTTTTTTTTTTTTTTTTTTTTTGATAGGACTCACATAGGAAGCATGTTGGAAGCCGGAATAATGAAATTTTAATGTAAGTTCTTATTAAATCTTTTTATTATACCCTGAATATGAGCCTTGAGACCCTTCTTGTCTTTTGAGGACCTTGGAATATTTTCATTGGAGCATTTGGAAGATCTCATTTGGATGCTGGTATATGGATACAGAGGGTAATAGTATCTAATACTATTGGTGCTGGTGGAACACAGTGTTGCAGTTTTCACTGAGTGATCACAGTTTATTCACATGTGCACGGAAGAGATACACATATATAGTGTTTGCACATTTTTGTGTTTTTGTGTTTGCACGGAGAGAATATATTATGTTTTAAGGTAATGCACTAGATTTTTGAATTTGTTTTTTTCGAGGTATTACGGGACGGAAGGGAATTTCTTCTGACTGGATGAATTAAATTTGGATATTTGGACAATTTTTGGACACCATTTCTATTGGACACTATTTTTGGTTATATTGGGACATTTTGGGACACTTTGCATTGGACTTTTTTTATTTATATTTTTTATTTTGAATTTTATTATTATATTTAAGTGTTTGGATTTTATTTATATTCATTTATTTGAATTTGTTTATATATTTTTCAAAAAGGTTATAATACTATTACTTTTTAATAGTTGCATACCTAAATATAGTTTCCATATTTCTTAGTGTTACTAAACCCAGGACCCTGCATTCACTATATCTGGTCTTCCACAGTACACACAACATGGAAATGCATCTATTTTAGTAAATATAAACTGCTAAATGCCTTTTCTCATCAGCAGTTAGAGTAGTCTTGTGACTTCAGCAGAGCACTGGTTAAAACTTGTAGGAAGAGTTTTCTTTCTGCTCTAGGAAGATGTGAAAGTCCTGACCCTCTGTCTAGACCAGCAATGGGCAAACTACGGCCCGCGGGCCGTATACGGCCCGGCGGACCTTTTAATCCGGCCCGCGGAGCTAGGCTCCCGCAAGGCCAGTGGTCGGCAAGTCGCGGCTCTTTACAATAGATGCGGCTCTCCTGTGTGCCGGGCGCCCGCTCCCCTCCCTCCTCTCGGGCGGGCGGGCGACCTCCTCTCCTCCTCTCCCCTCCCCTCCTCTCGGATGGCCGCCCCCCCTCTCGGATGGCCGCCCCCTCCCTCCTCTCGGGCGTCAGGACTCTGCAGCTGTCAGGATGTAGGCGGGGCAGCCAGGATGTAGGCGGGGCAGCGTGACGAACTCTTCTCTCACAGTCCTCCCTGAAGACCAGAACGGCGCGGGAATACGAGAGGAACGCGCGGAGGAGCAAAGGTAAGTGAATTGACACAGGGGGGACTTACTATATGGGGGACTTACTATATGGGGGACTTACTATATGGGGAATGAATTACTATATGGGGGACTTACTATATGGGGGATGAATTACTATATGGGGGACTTACTATATGGGGGATGAATTACTATGGGGGGACTTACTATATGGGGAATGAATTACTATATGGGGGACTTACTATATGGGGAATGAATTACTATAGGGGGGACTTACTATATGGGGAATGAATTACTATAGGGGGGACTTACTATATGGGGAATGAATTACTATATGGAGGACTTACTATATGGGGAATGAATTACTATATGGAGGACTTACTATATGGGGAATGAATTACTATATGGGGGACTTACTATATGGGGAATGAATTACTATAGGGGGGACTTACTATATGGGGAATGAATTACTATATGGGGGACTTACTATATGGGGAATGAATTACTATATGGGGGACTTACTATATGGGGAATGAATTACTATATGGGGGACTTACTTTATGGGGAATGAATTACTATATGGGGGACTTACTTTATGGGGAATGAATTACTATATGGGGGACTTACTATATGGGGAATGAATTACTATATGGGGGACTTACTATATGGGGAATGAATTACTATATGGGGGACTTACTATATGGGGAATGAATTACTATATGGGGGACTTACTATATGGGGAATGAATTACTATATGGGGGACTTACTATATGGGGGACTTACTATATGGGGGACTTACTATATGGGGGACTTACTATATGGGGGACTTACTATATGGGGGATGAATTAATGTGGGGGATGAATTACTATGTGGGGGATGAATTACTATGTGGGGGATGAATTACTATATGGGGGATGAATTACTATATGGGGGATGAATTACTATGTGGGGGATGAATTACTATGTGGGGGATGAATTGCTATATGGGGGACGAATTGCTATATGGGGGACGAATTGCTATATGGGGGACGAATTGCTATATGGGGGACGAATTGCTATATGGGGGACGAATTGCTATGGGGGATGAATTACTATATGGGGGATTAATTACTATATGGGGGATTAATTACTATGCTTACTATGGGGGAATATTACTATACTTACTATGGATGACACATACACATCATTCATCTACTCTTGGTCCGGCCCCGGGTCCAATATATGAACCCATTGCGGCCCTCAAGTCAAAAAGTTTGCCCACCCCTGGTCTAGACAGTGCTGATTGGCCTTGTGCTGATCCCATGCACTCTCCCAAGAAAAAAAAAAAATTAAAAAAAAAAAAAACCTCTCTAGCAATACACACCAAAATGAGCATGTGCTCATTTCAACAAGAGGAGGGGCAGACAAGAAAGGATCAAACAGCCTTTTTACACAATGTAGAGGATTAACCCCTTATGTTCCACAAGGAACAAGCATGCTTCACTGCATATACAGACTGATTTTACTGTTGTGGGGTTTAGTAACACTTTAAGGATTTGTTTGCTTAAAAAATAAAATAAATGCATAGTATTTGCAGGTCAAAAAAATGCATATTTATTATACTGTACACGCAATCAGCAGATCACGGGTGCAATTGCAGGATCCTGCAGAATCTCAATCAGCTGTCTGCCCAACCCTTCCGCATGGGCAGACAGTTACTGTACTGCAGGAAGATCGATGAACTACAAGAGTGCCACTCGCAGTTCATTGAGAACTACAAGTCGTTGGACGCAATGGCAGACAGTACTTGTAGTCTACTCATTCATATGAAACTGTGAATCTATGACATGATCGTGTGGGTGGAGCCTTGCATGGCCATGCTGTTTTCAAATTGTGAGTGTGGGGAGAGGATCCCCTGTCACAGGGAGGGTGGGGATTGGGGGAGGATGCTGGACATGTTACTTAACTACCTAAATACAGGTGTAACATGCTCAGAAAGGTTAACTTGACCATTAAAGAGTTTTGTTTTGGAAAAAAAAAACAATCCTCTATGGGTGGCCAATGTACATTCCAAGGATTTTAACAAACTTTGTTTGTTGCAGATTCCTATGTGTTTCTGCTCTGCAGAAAAAAGTTGTTTGTGCTCTGGATATTGATTCTTAATGGGAGTGACTAATCAGCTGATGCACTTGCAGTATTCGAATGATGAATGTCACGATGTCTTCATCCCTTTAAAAGTGATTAACCCTTTGGGAGTATCTCACTAAAAATGAAAATTTTGATGCAGAGGATGCCTAAAGTTTGTCAAAGAAGTTTGGTGAAATTTTTTTTTTTTTTTAAATCAACACAAGGGACAGTATTTTCATTCAATAAGAAGTGTATTTAATGCTGATGGCTGCTGTCTTTAATGAAATCTTCTGTCCTCTGCTCCCTCATACCCCTACAGCAGCAATCTTCCAGGGTTGTGGGGGTTAATAAAGTCACTGGGCCTGTTATAGGCACTCGTCCAGAGTGCAGACTATGCCCGCTCTATCTGCTTCCCCAAATTCATAGGAGCTATACGAAAGATTCTATCAAAGAAAAATGCTCTATGAATGTAGGAGGAGACCATTTCATTCTTCTCCCTGTCCTCCACTTTCAGAGTGCTTTTTGTTAACTGAAGCTATAATACAGTTTTTATGAAAGGAAGAGGGGGTAGAAATGGCAGACACAGTCTGCAATCCTGACAAGTGCTTATGACAGGTCCAGCAGCTGTATTAGCACCAGAATATTACCACTGCAGGAGTATGGGGGCAGAGGATAGAAGTTTTAAATAAGGAGAGCAGCCATGGTCAGGGACACTTCACATTTAATTTACTGTCTGTTGTGCCGATTAAAAACAAGTAACTAAACTAAGGCTTTCAATAGAACAAAAAAAACCTGCAGCAACAATTAGGACACCGAATATTTGATGACAAGGAATTTTAGTAATATGAAGCAGTGACTGGCATCAGGGTGCTTTCAGTGCCAATCAGTGTAGAAATGAAAGAAGGTAAACACAGCTTAGAATGGGATTAACTTTTTATTGAGGTTTGAATTCGTCAGAAATTACTGGCAGCATCTATTATATTTTACTTACAGTTTCATCCTCTGGAATGGGGATTTTTTCATCAAAATAGCTTGTGAATGGTTCCCCCTCCACCACTGGCTCACAGGTGCTATCACTGAGATCTGGCTTGGACCCCTGACTTCCTGATACACTCTCTGTAAAAAAAAAATGGCACAACATGATTTGACTAAATCAAAACATTGCACAATATGGCTCAAATTGAACATTGGGCAAGATTCCGACAGTGTTGTTGCTGGAATAAAAAATACAACAGAACATCAAAATAGCATCAAGCCCTCCCTTCACTATTATGACAGAGACAAATCAGAGCCCTGTTAACCATTTATGAGGCATTCAAACGATAAGCACTAAATAAATGTATTGACATGCATAGTGAAATAGTGATCTTCTGAGCCACTCACACAATTTTCATTACAGAAGCATTGCAGCAGGGCTACGGAAATTGTTAGAGAATAAAAATCACAAAAACACACATGGGTTGAACTGGATGGACCTCTGCCACCTTATTCTGCTATAGCAATTCCCCGCTGCCATGGTATGTAAGCAGCTACACTCTGTGAGGCAAAGGGCTATGATCAAATGAACAATTGAATGACCTGATCTCAGGAAGTTGTATATTATACACACACAATTTTTACTTGGTACTGATTGGCAGGGTGGACAGTGCATGGGGAGGGAGCTCCATAATTTGTATTATTTGCTATAGAGAAAACAAATTTTAGTTTTCTCAGATCTTATTAAAGCTGGGTATACACGCAGAGGTTTTTTTTTTATGTTAACTGACGGAGGACTGGAAAAAAAAAAAAAAAAACAATTATCCCCACGTCCACACAAGCAATTTTGATGCAGGGATCTCCCCCACTGTACTATATTCTGACAGTGGGAACTTCCCATCCCCCTTCAGAATACACAGATCAGAGCTGCAGCTATTCTCTGCATGCACTGATTGAATGCTGGTTTTCCAGCTGGGCCATTCAACAGACAAGGCCACACATGTACCAAAATTCAGCTGGTTCTTGCTGACCCACCTATGGGTGGGAACGTGGGATAAAGCCTCCTTTCCTCGGTCTACATCTTACCTGGAAGCCAGACCTCATTGTTAGACTCAACTGTCCACAGCCTTTATATAAGTGAGCAGATATGTTCAGAGCTCTCTCTGGTGTGGGATTCTGCTGCTGGGTAAAAAGACTTGATGACAGAACACTAAAAAAGGTACACATGCTGTTTGTGTTGGGGAACCCATTAGGGGACAGCTTGTTACTCAGGAGCTGACATGAGTTTAGTTAGTAGTGTGGATGAATGTAGGTTTTATTTTGTGCTATGCATTTGCTGTACAAAGCTCTCCTGAATTGAACTGTGTGTATTTATTGCCTTTTTGAATAACTGCAGGACAAACCTGCTTGGACTGTTCCTAGGTGTCCTTGTCTTGTGCATTATTTACCACTGTTGCCATAAGAGGGAGCCTGTCCCACTTACAACACCTACAGTGCTCAGCATAAATGACAAGTAAGATTTTAATCAATATCTCAATGAACACAAGAACAATTTCCAACATTTTGACAAAACTGAGTTTTATAGAACATATAGAACATTAGCTCATTACATGAAAGTAAGGTTAATAATATAACTTAGATTACAAAATCTTCAGTTTCAAATTAGTTGATGCAAAAATGAATACACCTCACAACAAAAACTACTATATCTATATTGTATGATCTCCATGTGTAAGGACAGCACCAAGTCTTCTAGACATGGAATGAACAAGTTTTTCACCATCTTTTTCCACACTTCAAGAACGACCTCTTTTATAGCCTGGATGCTGGTGGGGAGTGATGGTCAACTTTTCTCTTCAGAATTCCCCATAGGTGTTTAATTGTGTTCAGATCAGGAGACATACTTGGCCACTGAATCACTTTCATCCCATTCTTCTTCAGAAATTCAACAGTGGCCTTAGATGTGTGTTTTGGACCATTGTCTGTTGGAAAAGTGCATGACGACCAAAGGATCGGAGTGATGGTAGTATCTTCTCTTTCAATATAGAGCAGGATATCTGTTTATTTCATGATACCAGCAATGAAATGCAGCTCCCTGACACCAGCAGCACACATGCAGCCCCACAGAAGAACACTGCCACCACATTTCACTATAGACACCATGCATTTTTATTTGTACTCCTCACCTTTGCCACCCCATACAGTTTTGAAGCCATCAGTTCCAAAAACATTTATCTTGGTCTCATGGATCCTGGCAAATTCTAGGCAGGCTTTTTTGTGCATGGGCTTTAGGACAGGCTTCCTTCGTGGATGACACCCATGCCTGCCATTCCTCTGCAATGTACTCCGTATTGTGTCACAGGAAACAACACCACAAACCCCCCCCCCCCCCCCCCAGTTTGGCTTTCTACTTCTTTAGAAAACTGCAGTGAACTTGCATGGCAATTTTCTTCAACCCTTCTCATCAGAAGACGCTCCTGTCAAGGTATTAACTTTCGTGGATGGCCTGGACATCTCTCAGAGATAGTTACATAGTTAGTCTGGCTGAAAAAAGACAAAAGTCCATCCAGTTCAACCATAGAAAAAAAAAGTTATAATCCTATACCGAAAGTTGATCCAGAGGAAGGCAAAAAAAAAAAAACCCAGCAAAGCATGATCCAATTTGCTCCTGGAAAAAAAAATTCCTTGGTTGCAGTTCCATCTTTGTTAAATTTTTATTTTTTTCTCGGAGATCAGTGTGTCATTGGACACGGCTGATCACGTGGTAAAAGTCCACTGTGATTGGCCTTTTACTATACCACGGAGATTCCCGGGAGCACGCAGGAGAGCGCATTCTGGGAGGACGTCATATGACACCCTCCCAGAACTGGCCGGCCGCAGTGAAGCCGTCATTCGGCTATCTGCGGTCAGCAAGTGGTTAATCAAGATGGCAGACAACAATGTTAGTGGCTACATGGAACAGTGTGTTGCTTTCTTGTAAATGAAGGTGTAAAACTTGCAGATATCTACAGAAGACTTCAAGCACAGTGCGGTGGTGAGACGCTCAGCCACAGTAAGACATTTGAATGGTGTAAATCTTTCACAGATGACCATACGTTCGTCAATAATGATCCCGGCCGTGGTGGTTCCCAGCCCACAGCAGTCATTCCTGTGAACATTCAGAGAGTGGAACACCTGATCTGGGATAATTGACCCATAACCTGTCATGAAATTGCACAAGAGCAGGGGCGGACTGACCACTCGGCCACTCCCTGAGGGCCCAGGGTCAGTAGGGGGCACCATGAGATGCCCCTGGTACCTTTTGTAGGCTTTTGTGGGTGTGGTTTGAGTGTGGGTGAGGACACAGGGCCTAATGATCCCCTATTGCCGCAGGGGCCCCATGAGTTGTCAGTCCACCCCTGCATAAGAGACAAATCTTTCTGTGGGAACAGTGAACACAATGATGACAAAGTGAAGAAGGCTGTCCCAGGATGGTTCAGGCGTACCGACAAACCTTTCTATGCCAAACCTTTCCAGGCATTAGTTAAATGCTGGGATAACTATATAAATGTAGCAGGAGAGTATGTTAAAAAAATACATGCAGTTTCCACTCCTTGAAATTTTTTTTCTTTTTAATATATAAACTTAAAAGTCCTGATTTGACTTGAAAGCCCCTCCAATTTTTGGCTATCAATTAGATAAGCTCTGGGATATTTGTTTTCTAAACAATAATCAGAAAGAATTACGTAGGCTGCTTTTGGTATTCTCTACCCCTAAAAATGCTAGCTGCTATGCAGATTCATTGTACTTTCTGAGTTATTGATCCAGACAAATCAAGAGACAGCCAGGCAACTAGCATTATTAGGAATTCAGCAGGGACGGGGGTCTAGATATCTCCCAGTACATGTTCTATAGGGAGATTTACAAGACATGTACAGTGAGAATCCTGGGAATATACAGTATGACCTGTATCCGATTTTTAATGTTGTCTTTGATTTTGTGACCCCTATTTCATCAATGGTCTTGATGTGTAAGCAACTGCTAGCATCATTTGTACAGATTGCAATAACCAACCATTTCATTTTTTCATTATTGAAATGAACCTTTATTCCAGGTTGGGGAATGTTTTAATATGTGTATACACTATTCATAACCACTAGAGGGAGGGCTTCACAACAAAAGCTGAAGATTCTACAAAACCTATGTCACTGTTGTACATTAGTCCTCTGACTCTCAGACAGAACAATGAGAGAGGCCACTGCTGCTCTCCTGATCTTTTAGTTGTCTGTCACTGATTAGGTATAGGCCTACAAGCTGGCTTCAATATTTTGAGAACAGGTGACTTCACAGCTGCCGATCTGTATACAGTGAGGAACAGAAGTATTTGAACACCCTGCGATTTTGCAAGTTCTTCCACTCAGAAATCATGAAGGGGTCTGAAATTCACATTGTAGGTGCATTCCCACTCTGAGAGACAGAATTAAAAAAAATTCAGGAAATCACATTGTATGATTTTTAAAGAATTTATTTGTCTTGCACTGCTGAACATAAGTATTTGAACACCTAAGAAACAGCAAGAATTCTGGCTCTCAAAGACCTGTTACTGTGCCTTTAAAAAGATCACCTCTAGTCCAGTCATTAATCTAACTTAGTAGCACCTGTCTGAGCTCTTTAAAAAGACACCTTCCCACAGTTAGTCAGACGCCAACTACTACCATAGGCAAGACCAAAGAGCTGTCAAAAGACACCAGAGACAAAACTGTGGACCTCCACAAGGCTGGAAAGGGCTACGGGGCAATTGCCAAGCAGCTTGGTGAAAATAGATCAACTGTTGGAGCAATTGTTAGAAAACGGAAGAGGCTAAAGACGACTGTCAGTCTCCCTCAGACTGGGGCTCCATGCAAGATCTCACCTCGTGGGGTATCACTGATAAGAAAGGTGAGGAATCAGCCCAGAACTACAAGGGAGGAGCTGGTTAATGACATGAAGAGAGCTGGGACAACAGTTTCAAAGGTCACTGTCGGTAGAACACTACACCGTCATGGTTTCAAATCATGCATTGCACGGAAGGTTCCCCTGCTCAAGTCATCACATGTCCAGGCCCGTCTGAAGTTTGCCAATGACCATCTGGATGATCCAGAGGAGGCATGGGAGAAAGTCATGTGGTCAGATGAGACCAAAGTAGAACTTTTTGGTCTAAACTTCACTCGTCGTGTTTGGAGGAAAAAGAAGGATGAGTTGCATCCCAAGAACACCATCCCTACTGTGAAGCAAGGGGGGTGGTAACATCATGCTTTGGGGGTGCTTTTCTGCAAAGGGGACAGGACGACTGCACTGTATTAAGGAGAGGATAAATGGGGCCATTTATTGTGAGATTTTGAGCAACAACCTCCTTCCCTCAGAGCATTGAAGATGGGTCGTGACTGGGTCTTCCAACATGACAACGACCCGAAGCACACAGCCAGGATAACCAAGGAGTGGCTCCATAAGAAGCATATCAAGGTTCTGGATGGCCTAGCCAGTCTCTAGACCTAAATCCAATAGAACATCTTTGGAGGGAGCTGAAACTCCATGTTGCTCAACGACAGCCCCGAAACCTGACAGATCTAGAGATCTGTGTGGAGGAGTGGGCCAAAATCCCTGTTGCAGTGTGTGCAAACCTGGTCAAGAACTACAGGAAACGTTTGACCTCTGTAATTGCAAACAAAGGCTTCTGTACCAAATATTAACACTGATTTTCTCAGGTGTTCAAATACTTATGTTCAGCAGTGCAAGACAAATAAATTCTTTAAAAATCATACAATGAGATTTCCTGAATTTTTTTTTAAATTCTGTCTCTCAGAGTGGGAATGCACCTACAATGTGAAATTTCAGACCCCTCCATGATTTCTAAGTGGGAGAACTTGCAAAATCGCAGGGTGTTCAAATACTTCTGTTCCTCACTGTACTTGTCCCTGGTCACTCTCTGAATAATATTGAAGCCAAAGCATCAGCATAACAATCTGTCAGCTAGCACTTTGAGGGGAGTTCAGCAGTCTACATTTTGTCTAAGAATATGTTTCTCAATGCTTATCTGTCCAATATATATAGAATGGGTATTATTACATTACAAGGTCGTGTGTATGAGGGACGTAATGTGACTTGAAACAACAGACGTCTGAGCATTTTCAGTAGAATAGCATACAGTCCTATGTATCTTCATTTTTACTGATCAGAAATACAGTCATGGCCGAAAATTGTTGGCACCCTTGATATTTCTCCAGGAAATCATGTATTTCTCACGAAACGTATTGCATTAACACATGTTTTGCTATACACATGTTTATTCCCTTTGTGTGTATTGGGACAAAACAAAAAAAGGGAGGAAAGAAAGCAAATTCGACATAATGTCACACAAACCTCCAAAAATGGGCTGGACAAAAGTATTGGCAACCCTTTCACAACTGCGGATAAATAAGAATGTTACAAGCATGTGATGCTCCTGTAAACTCACCTGGGGCAAGTAACAGGTGTGGGCAATATAGAAATCACACCTGAAAGCAGATAAAAAGGAGAGACGTTCACTTAACCTTTGCATTGTGTGTCTGTCTGTGCCACACTAAGCATGGACAACAGAAAGAGGAGACGAGAACTGTCTGAGACCTGAGAACCAAAATTGTGGCAAAATATCAACAATCTCAAGGTTACAAGTCCATCTCCAGAGAACTAGATTTGCCTTTGTCCACAGTGCGCAACATTATCAAGAAGTTTGCAACCCATGGCACTGTAGCTAATCTCCCAGGTGGTCGTGGACGGATGAGGAAAATTGATGAAAGATTGCAACGCAGAATAGTCCGGATGGTGGATAAGCAGCCCCAAACATGTTCCAAAGACATTCAAGCTGTCCTGCAGGCTCAGGGAGCATCAGTGTCAGCGCGAACTATCCGTCGACATTTAAATGAAATGAAACGCTATGGCAGGAGACCCAGGAGGACCCCACTGCTGACACAGAGACATAAAAAAAGCAAGACTACAGTTTGCCAAAAATGTACTTGAGTAAGCCAAAAGCCTTCTGGGAAAACGTCTTGTGGACAGATGAGACCAAGATAGAGCTTTTCGGTAAAGCACATCATTCTACTGTTTACCGAAAACGGAATGAGGCCTACAAAGAACAAAACACAGTACCTACGGTAAAATATGGTGGAGGTTCAATGATGTTTTGGGGTTGTTTTGCTGCCTCTGGCACTGGGGTGCCTTGACTGTGTGCAAGGCATCATGAAATCTGAGGATTACCAAAGGATTTTGGGTCGCACTGTAGGGCCCAGTGTCAGAAAGCTGGTTTGCGTCCAAGATCCTGGGTCTTCCAGCAGGACAATGACCCCAAACATACGTCAAAAAGCACTCAGAAATGGATGGCAAAGAAGCGCTGGAGAGTTCTGAAGTGGCCAGCAATGAGCCCAGATCTAAATCCCATTGAACACCTGTGGGAGAGATCTTAAAATTGCTGTTGGGAAAAGGTGTCCTTTTCCAATAAGAGAGACCTGGAGCTGTTTGCAAAGGAAGAGTGGTCCAAAATTCCGGGTGAGAGGTGTGTCAGAAGCTTATTGATGGTTATAGGAAGCGACTGATTTCAGTTATGTTTTCCAAAGGGTGTGCAACCAAATATTAAGTTAAGGGTGCCAATACTTTTGTCCAGCCCATTTTTGGGGTTTTGTGTGACATTATGTCATATTTGCTTTTCTGCCTCTGTTTTATATTTGTTCCAATACATACAAAGGGAATAAACATGTGTATAGCAAAACATGTGTTAATGCAATACCTTTTTTGTGTGAAATACTTGATTTTCAGGAAAAATATCAAGGGTGCCAACAATTTCGGCCATGACTGTATATGTCAAACCCAATATTGGGGTATATTATTTTTATCAAAGAATTCAGTGCAGTTTAACATGCATCTCACTGTCATTTGCTTTCAAACAAATCCTATCCTTATTCCACAGGAAGAAGAACTGAAAGCATGCAGAGAACTGTAGAGGTTGACTCTTCAGGCACTATGCAGTGCAGGCGGCACCCCTCCCACCTAAGCACTCCATCCTGCTCTCCACTGCTAACAATACTCACCACTATAGGACCTCTCCCAGACCTGCAGTAAGCCATATCTCATTCATTCAGCAAATGCTCTCAGGCTCCTTACCAGATACTGAAGTCTGTTTGATACAGATCAGTTCTCAGAAATTGTGTGCAGTACACCCTCAGGACAGCCTTTCTCAACCTTTTCAATACCAAGAACTCGTGCAGTTACTTTCTGGTCTCAGGGAACCCCTGCTAAAAAATTACTATATCTACAACACATGATATAGCAGTGTGAAGGACAGTGAGAAGATGCTCCTTACACTTGTGGACATTGCGAAGAATTACCCCCTTGCAGATAGCTAACAAGATCATAAGTGTCAGTGGGAACTTTTCTTCGAGCCAGAAATCGCTCATTGGTCAAGGAACCCCTAGCAACCTCTGGAGGAACCCTAAGGTTCCATGGAACCCTGGTTGAGAAACCCTGCTCTAGGGTATCAGGATAATGTTTGTATGGATTAAGGTTTTAAAGCTCTTATTAAGTGTTCTTGCATGGCAAGACCACTTACTGTTATCTCACATATATATTCTTATTATAGCCAAATTTACCACCCTAACTCCTCCCACAGTTTATACACTACATAGACAGTAATATACCGAAATGTGCGGATTGTTCCCCATTGGTGTGCTATTACTTTGTGGAACGTTTCGAGGAATGGTTCACGAAATATTGGCGTTTTTGTGGTGAAATTGGTCCCATAGGAATGAATGGCGGAATGTTCAAAACTAGAGTGGGAGCTGACAAAACCGTTTCACAGTTACTCCAGCCACTCCAACCACACAACAGTTACTCAAGCCACTCCACCCAGTTACTCCACCCACTCCAGTTGTAGACTACTCTTCACACAATTTCCCCAGAAATTGTAACATTTCTAGTTCAATACATAATCTCAATAGAAAAAAAACTATGTAAAACCAATGGATAATCTGTATCTGCACAGCTAAAAGAAGGTTAGCATCGGTGCACTCTGTAGTCAATGATTTGGAGGATTTTGTGCAGGAGCTTACCATCTAATTGTCGGTACCTCTGGTCTGACATGGTGGCAGTTGTAACAGTCGATTCACTTTCTTTTGGATAGGCCACATTAACTGAAAAAATAAGAAAGAACACAATGTAAAGCAAATATTTTTAATGTTTGTACATGTAAAGCAAGGTCCCATAGAAACATAATGCATCAAAGGGAGCCAGTCATTTTTGACCTCCTAAAAGCTCCAATTATCTGGCTGTCTCTACTTCAATCCTTTTTGAGCTACTACCTTGCAACAAGCATGAAGCAAAGTCAAAATTCCTGATCTCCTACTCTGTCTTCATAAAGTATTGAGGCCAGTAGATCAGTATGACAGCCAGGCAACCGGCATTTTCCAGACAGGTTAGCTAAGTTAGCCACACATTTCTTAGAACGGGTCAAGTGAACAAGTGAATAAGACAAGTATTTACTTATATTAAAAAAAAAAAAAAGGATTCAGCACTTCCCATGTACTCTGATGGTGGGATGACCCAATGCTTCAACTGAAAAATAAAATTAGTATTAGTGTAGTCTTGTTTGAGCAGTGTGAACGCAGGGACATCCTGGCAGGGATTTAATTATACACAGATGCCTATGTACTCCTTTCCTTGAAGGAGATTTAGGCTGGATTCACATGATAATGCATGACGTTAGGTACTGTGCATAACACTGCACAGAACCTTTTTTTTGGTGCATTAAAATGGCCATTCAAATGAAAGGGCTGCCTTAACACAATGCACCTTAATACAGCACAAAGATGGAAATGAGCCCATATACACTGTGCAAAAAAAATTAAAGGAACACTTTGAAAACACATCAGATCTCAATGGGGAAAAATATCATGCTGGATATCTATACTGATATGGCCTGAGTAATGTGTTAGGAATGTAAGGATGCCCCATCGTTTGATGGAAATAAAAATGATCAACCTACAGAGGACTGAATTCAAAGACACCCCAAAAATCAAAGTGAAAAAATGGATTAACAATCCCCTCTGCTACTTAACTGACCAGATCAATATCTCAGGAATTTAACTGACTTGATGCTATACTCTGATTAAAGAGTGTTCCTTTAATTTTCTTGAGCAGTGTAGTTTAACTTCAGATTTTTTTTTCCATTTGCTGAATAGTACAATACCAAGAAATAGCCACAACTTCCATCGTAATTATAATAACATTCTGACATTTCACAATTCTTTTTAAAGCATTTTTGCTATGTTTGCTATAAATTAAGTTTAAATATATGACCAATAGTTTGGGCAATTTAAAGGATAAGTTCACCTTTTGCACAAAAATAATAAATGCACTTTTTCTTGCAGGTAAAAAAAAGTGCATTTGTTATTTTTGCCTGCAGGAGCCTGTAAAGCATTGCAACAGTGATCAACAGATTGCTGGTGCCTGCAGGTCTCCTGCAGACCTTTTAGTATATCTGCTTGCTTGTATGGGATGTAAAGGCAAGCAGATATACTGACAGGAAGAATCACAGCGCTATGGCAGTTAATTGAGAACTACAAGCCAACAGCCACTAAGGCTTGTAGTTTATTCATACAGAAGCGGAGCCCCAAACGGCTGCCCAGTTTATAAATTTGACAGCTAGAACTTCTCCCTGTACTTCTGTCAAAGGGGGAGGGGGGCGGTGGGCGGAGGCTGCAGCTTTGGGAATATGTTACATGTTCCACCCTAAAAATGGGTGGATCATGTAACACGTTCCCAAAGATGAAATTATCCTTTAATTGCAGACATACAGTAAATTCATGTATAAATATGTATGTATGTATGTATGTATGTATAACATGTATAAATGGTTTCCACCTTTAAAAAAAAAAAAAATTAATTTGGATATGATTTGAGCGTTCCACATTTGGTTTTACAATATACAGTAGACCAGTTTTTTTTTTCATATCAGTTAATAATTTTGCCACCATAGGAGAGGCATTAGTAATCTAGTGCCTCACAATTGCTCTCCGGGCTGTAAGTAAACATACAGTATATGAATCCACTGCAAATTAGATATAGGACTGTTTAAAGTACTTAAAAGATATCTATCAGATCTGGCATAGCTAACTTTTCTTAACATATCCAAAAAGGTCACCCTGAATGCATAGTACCTATCCCCACATCAGGACCCTAGATGACTAGATATTTGTAAGTAGTAGAGAGAATTCTGCTTCGGAACATTCAACTTTAATGACTAGGAATTACTATGATACAGTTGGCATGCAGTAATCAGCCTATTCTGCCTCCAGATCTGAAAAATTGCAGAATATTTACTTTGTGGAAATGAAGGCTTATCCTGAATTGTCAAGATCTTTGATACATAGGGAGGCATACCCTGTTTTTTTTCCTCACCTTTCTCCAAGATACTATTGTATCCCTATAAAGTAAGTTAGTCTTCAGACTTGGATGTTAGTCTCTCATCTTAGTATGTAACAAGGTGGAAAGATTCCAGGGAGAGGAAATTAGAATACCTTGACGACAATGTTAGTCAGTCCAAGGCATATCTCAATAGACAGGCTATACTGTAAAATCGAATATTGCAAAGACCAAGACCACCTTTACTTTTAGGCAGGGAAAGAGTACATATTGATACACGTGGTCTTTTCCTATGCCATAAAAACCTAATTATAAGCTTCGTTAAACTGATTCACATCTTTATGTTTAACCTGTTGGCGCCGAACAAACGCAAATAAAGTCAGGTCCATAAATATTGGGACATCGACACAATTCTAACATTTTTGGTTCTATACACCACCACAATGGATTTGAAATGAAACAAACAAGATGTGCTTTAACTGCAGACTGTCAGCTTTAATTTGAGGGTATTTACATCCAAATCAGGTGAACGGTGTAGGAATTACAACAGTTTGCATATGTGCCTCCCACTTGTTAAGGGACCAAAAGTAATGGGACACAATAATAATCATAAATCAAACTTTCACTTTTTAATACTTGGTTGCAAATCCTTTGCAGTCAATTACAGCCTGAAGAATGGAACGCACAGACATCACCAGACGCTGGGTTTCATCCCTGGTGATGCTCTGCCAGGCCTCTACTGCAACGGTCTTCAGTTCCTGCTTGTTCTTGGGGCATTTTCCCTTCAGTTTTGTCTTCAGCAAGTGAAATGCATGCTGAATCGGATTCAGATCAGGCGATTGACTTGGCCATTGCATAACATTCCACTTCTTTCCCTTAAAAAACTCTTTATTTGCTTTTGCAGTATGCTTTGGGTCATTGTCCATCTGCACTGTGAAGCGGCGTCCAATGAGTTCTGAAGCATTTGGCTGAATATGACAATAATATAATATGACAGATAATATTGCCCGAAACACTTCAGAATTCATCCTGCTGCTTTTGTCAGCAGCCACATCATCAATAAATACAAGAGAACCAGTTCCATTGGCAGCCATACATGCCCACGCCATGACACTACCACCACCATGCTTCACTGATAAGGTGGTATGCTTAGGATCATGAGCAGTTCCTTTCCTTCTCCATACTCTTCTCTTCCCATCACTCTGGTACAAGTTGATCTTGGTCTCATCTGTCCATAGGATGTTGTTCCAGAACTGTGAAGGCTTTTTTAGATGTTGTTTGGCAAACTCTAATCTGGCCTTCCTGTTTTTGAGGCTCACCAATGGTTTACATCTTGTGGTAAACCCTCTGTATTCACTCTGGTGAAGTCTTCTTTTGATTGTTGACTTTGACACACATACACCTACCTCCTGGAGAGTGTTCTTGATCTGGCCAACTGTTGTGAAGGGTGTTTTCTTCACCAGGGAAAGAATTCTTTGGTCATCCACCACAGTTGTTTTCCGTGGTCTTCCGGGTCTTTTGGTGTTGCTGAGCTCACCGGTGCGTTTCTTCTTTTTAAGAATGTTCCAAACAGTTGTTTTGGCCACGCCTAATGTTTTTGCTATCTCTCTGATGGGTTTGTTTTGTTTTTTCAGCCTAATGATGGCTTTCTGCACTGATAGTGACAGCTTTTTGGATCTCATCTTGAGAGTTGACAGCAACAGATTCCAAATGCAAATAGCACACTTGAAATGAACTCTGGACCTTTTATCTCATTGTAATTGCGTTAATGAGGGAATAACACACACCTGGCCATGGAACAGCTGAGAAGCCAATTGTCCCATTACTTTTGGTCCCTTAACAAGTGGGAGGCACATATGCAAACTGTTGTAATTCCTACACTGTTCACCTGATTTGGATGTAAATACCCTCAAATTAATGCTGACAGTCTGCAGTTAAAGCACATCTTGTTCATTTCAAATCCATTGAGGTGGTGTATAGAGCCAAAAATGTTAGAATTGTGTCGATGCCCCAATATTTATGGACCTGACTGTATGTGGCCTCTCCATGGCTTGATATTATCCACATATCTGCGTACCCAAAGTAAACATACGTGTCGAGAGACCGCGCCCTACGCGCTCCTCCTGGCACATTTCACCGACGCTTTTCACAGAAATTGGCGGTTACCCGAGGTTCCGATTACTACTTGTGATCGGGACCTTCCCAATCAAGTGACCACTGAGAAAGCCAATCACGACGCTCACATGACCCTAAACCCCACCCTGCCTCCCAATGTCACAAACCCCTTAACGGTCCAGGAGGCGCCAGTGCCAAGGGGTTAAAGGAGAAGTAGGGCAAAAGCTCATTTGGCCCTACTTCTACTGTGGGTTACATAAGTGCACTTAGTTCTGAATTCCTGATCCGGTCCAGGCTCAACTTTAAAGTTGGCATCCATCCATTCTTGACCCACAACTCAGCAGGCTGCTGAGGGCCTGGGCCAGCTGCTTGCACCCCCTCCACAGTGAGTAATGTTTGCATTTCAGTAGTTTGATTTTCTGTTAATTTTCAATCTGTGTCATTTATTCTATGTAGCATTTTAATAGGATTATTAGAGTATAGTATTAATTTAGTATTTGCTGTTATTGGCATTTTTATTGTTGTTATTGTATCTTGTTTCTGTTTGCTATTGTGATTTTGTGTTGTCTTCTTTAATATAAGTGTATCTTAATCATTTCTCCTTG